TTGCGTAAGAAAGAAGCGTCAAGATCAGTCATCAGAACGAGAGAGGAGACATGCAGAGGAGACATCCAGACACATAATGTTTATAATTAGAAACCATGAGCCTAGCTCCACTATTCACCACATGCACAAAATACAAAAATAAATGGCGGTGTATCTTCCTGTGTTCCAGAAGAAGATTCATTCCCATTCTGCACATTTGGTGCGTAGCAGAATGAGGCCCTATGTTTACTGATCCTGTCGAGTGCAGCCTGAGCAATGTCGTCGTTGGCAAATGTGAATAGCGAGCGGGTTACGCCCTACTCACACTACCCTCTATTCTCTGCGCAGATGTAACCATGTTAGCTGATGTGGGTTCAAATATACACCCTACTCCCACTACCGTCTCTTCTCTGCGCCAATGTTGCACCCATGTTTACTGATCCCGTTGAGTGCAGCCTGACCCATATCATTGCTGGCAACCGTGAATAGCGAGCGCCCTACTCACACTACCGACTATTCTCTGCGTGAACATTACTTTAGATTCATGTTAGTTGAGAAAAGAATGAGATGGAGGTGGGTGCACTCTCAATGTTCTTTTGATGACTGTGGATAATGGCCGACTATTGATCAAAGTGCCCAGCAGCTACCAGTATGACTAATCAAATCGCAATGAAACGACAAATAGTGCCATGGAAGTTCTCATTTCCTTGTGTTTGCGTCCTTCTTGCAATTTACTGCTGGCATCCCAAAGAAAGAGAGAAAGCAAAGACGGGAAGGCATCATAAGATGCATAGATATGACATCATGAGACCATCGGAGAGGAATAATAGCCCCTGGCAGCCTGCCAGATCACCAGTCCGCCGTTAGATGGGTTCAATCTGATGAGTGGGGAGCTGCACGTGCTGGAAACTGGGCCCGGCGTCTCATTTCCAAAGACCGTACAAAAGTCCAGATAAAACTGTTCCCTTGGATCTGTGCACCAATTGCCCTCGTCACCTGTGTTCTCTATATCACATTCTATTCTAGCCTGCTTTTCCTGAAAAAAAAAGAGTCTCCTTTTTCTGTTTCCCTTCGGCCCTGTCCTGCTCTTTATCCTAACTTCTGGAGGACAAGGAACTATCTCCCGAGTCCCGACATGCTTTTTTTTTTTTTTTTTTTTTGGCATCAGACATCCTTAGAGCATGGGCCTTGGCTACTCACCAAATGTGCAAATTCAGAATGAATCTTCCACTAGAACATGGAAAGATACACCGCCATACATTTTGTCTTTCGTGCATGTGGAGCGTAGTGCAGTGACGCCCTTAGTCAAATATGTTGGTGGCCGAAAAACAAGGAAAGGGCATTAAACCACTTGTACCTCGCCCAGTGTTGGGAAATCAGCCAAACTCCTGAAAATTCGGAGGCCGGGCCCGACGACGGCTGCCATTGATAAATCTGATCGGCGGCGGTCATTTCGTTTCGGCCATCCGAAAAGGTCGGAGGCCCACCCGAGGCCCGCTATTTTCCCACGCGGCAAAGGTACTATTCTACAGAAAAAGAAGGAACAAGAAAACCAGCAGCTGCACAGGGTCTAGCAACAAGGGCATAGCACACAGAAGATAATCAAACTGTGAGTAATATGTCCAAAGATGGCCCAAAATACAAAACTTGAGGACAAATCCAGCTCACGACAGGGATAGACAAGGACAGAAACCCCCGAGGGGTATCCCACCTCTCGCGGGCCTCACGACTATTTGACAGCTGGAGAAGCTGAGAAGAGCATTTGAGAGTTCAGGCTAAGGCGCAGTTAAACCCAAAAGGTTAGAAATAACTCTCTGGCAAGCAATTGCTCGTAAGGTTAAAAAAAACTGGGTAATGCTCCCAGGATAACCCCGGGTTGAATTGTGAGGACCCCAGCCTCAAAACTGTTTTTTTTTTTTTTTTTTTTTTTGGCAAACTGTTTTTGGTATATATGGACCTTTGTTTTTGTATTAGAAGAAGAAAAGAACAAAAAACATGAACTCAAGACCCCACCACAAGGAGGGTGAAGAAAAGACTTTACGGACAACTACGAGGAAACCCAGGAAAGGTGGTATGCACCAAACTTGCAGCGCATACGTGAGGTGCGCTGCGCTGATCACAGATGCACCCAAAAAAAAAAAAAAAAG